TTTTGCATTTTTTTGTAAAATTCGAAGAAAAATCGCAAAATTGTGATCCTCTTAGAGAATTTGCAAATTTTTACGATTTTTTAAGAGTTTCGTAATATTTTTGCAAAATTCAAAGAGAAATCACAATTTTTTGTGATTCTTACTATATTTTTTGCGAAAATTCGAAGAAAATCGCAAAAAAATTGTGATTCTCTAAGAGTTTTACTATATTTTACAAATCTCTTAGAGAATTTGCTAATTTTGTGATCTTCTAAGACTTTCACATATAATTAAACTGAACTTTCAGATTAATCTGAAATTTTCAGTTTAATTCAGATTTTTTTCGATTTAAATAGAATTATAATTTAAAAAAAATCTGAACTGAATTGAAAATTTTCAGATTGAATTTTATGCAATCTAAAACTGAACTGATCTGAACTGATCTGATTAATTCGAACTGTTCAGAGCTTAATTATTTGTCTAAACTCATTTTAAATTTAACAAAATGTTTAAATTTAATTTTGCTAATTTTTTACTAAGATCTTAATATAGTTTTATATTTTATAAACTTTAATATATAGACTCTTACTAAAAGTCTTCAGATATATTTTAGCTTAATATAAAACTTGGAATTTTTAAATTTTATTAAAAAAAAATTTATTAATATATTTATTAAAAAATAATATGTTATATATTTAGTACTAAATAATTAGTATTTAGTCAGGCTTCTATTTGTTTTAATCACAGTTTAAATTTGTTATGATATACTATTAACTAAATTTTTGATAGTTTGTATCAGAATTTGTTTCTATACCCTTATAACCAGTATTGTTATGAGACATTGATGGAATACTGATGGGATGCTGATGGAACATAGTTAGAACAGATAGGACATTTGGGACATAGTGTGAGACAGGTTGAGACATATAGCTGGAACATATAGCTGGAACAACAAATCTCTGGGATATCAAAAATGTAAATCACTACTTATAATATATTGATTGAATAGAGTAAAGTTGAAAGGCAATTTTTTTCTTTCATAAATGCTTTTCTTAACTTCAGTCCATAAATTTTCAATAGAATTAAAAACTAAACTTTAAGCAGGCTATGGAAGTACATACAGACCATTTTCTGCATGAAACTTTTTGTAAGTTTTATTTTATGAAGGTAAGCATTATTCTCTTGAAATATACTATCATAGTTTAGAAATGTACGCCTTATTGTTAGTATAATATATTTGTGAAGAATAGTGATATGTATAATACTAGTAAATATTTTAGATAATGGAACAATTGGTCTTAAATTTTATCTTAAAAATTATTCCCAAATATTTGGCTAAGGCTATTTTTCATTGTAATAAAAACATAAAAAATATTTCATTTTTCATAAGGTTCACATCACACTTAACTATAATGGTTTTATTAAAATTATAAAAAGGTAGATTTATCATTCTATATGACCTTTGATCAATCATCTTTTATTCAACTTTGGTATTCTAAACATTATGTAAGACATACTTCAATATTTGTTAATATAATTAAAGCTTTCATCGAGTAATACAATTGTTTAATCTAGCTGCACAAAGTATTTAACTAATAGTATGAGTTGAAACATCTTAGCTGATCTTTTTTGTCAGAATTGTTGTACTTCTGCAGTACATAAGCGATGATTTTTTCTTTATCATTAGTGATAATTCACTTAAGCTAGCTTTTCCTTAAATCTTTAATTAAGAGTGATTAATCAGAATGAAGCTTTGAATTAACAATTCCAGTATTATTCATTTTTTTTAAAGTATCAAGAATTGTTACTTTTTACAACTGATAGTTGCAGCAATAATTTGATAACTATCACTGCGTTAATGGTAAAAAATTATACCACTGTGTTATTTTATTATTAATTTTTTAGACATTTTTATTATTTTAAAAAGATAAAATTTATTTAATCAAAAATCATAATAAACAAACCAAACACATATTTATTTGGTTTGATTCAAGTAAACAATGTCTAAAATATTATATAATTGCAGTTTTATACAGTCACATGATATAATCAATACAAAAAAGTCTTTAAAAAATAACATCTAGAGACTTTTAGCGAGGGTTTATAGTTTTACTTTTTTTAAATTTTATAAATTTTTTAGATTGCTAACAGTATTAAAATGTTAGAATCAGTTTATTCTTTACTTTATTAAATTTATATACTAAACTTAAATAAATCTAACAAATATGAAGACTTGAAAGATGAAATTATAAACAAATTTAATTAAAAATTCAGATGATAAATTCAATTATAAATAATATGTAGAGATTTAGTTAAACTATATGAAGATATAAAGATGTAAAAAGATATAAGTTTTAATTGATTCTTTTATTAATATTAAAACTTGTATTTACAAAAGAGTTTATAAACTTACAAAATATTAATTTACAATATAATCAAAAAATTTTATCTATTTATACAAAATTTCTTTTATTACAGCTAATTAATTACTATATTATAAAGTAACTAATTTGATAAATAAAATATAAGTAAACTAAATAAACTAAAGATAATAAAAATATATAATAAAATAAATAATTAATAAAAGAAGAATATTAAAAATAAATATAAAATTTAATATTTTTAGACTTTGTTTAATTTATGAAATTAGGATTATTATTAATATTTAGAAGATCAATAGAATTATATAGATTTTTTATATTTTCAGAATTTGCAGAATTCTCAATATTTTTAGAATTTTGAAACAAAAAACATTATACTATATCATGTGATTTTATTATTATTAGTTAATTGTTCTACTAATAATATATAATAAAAATTATAAATATCCTTTAATTAAGATTATACAAAAAATTTTCAGATAATTTTAGCAAATTTCAAGTCATTTTTAAATATTAAAATTAAGTATTATCCTAAACTACTTGTAAAATTTGAACAGTTCAAATTAATTTAAAAATTTCTGATTTAAATTAACTTTAATTCAATTTCAGATTACATAAAATCAATCTGAAAATTTTAGATAGTTCATTTCAATTGAAAAATAAGAATATTGTTTAATAGAATGATTAAAATTATTGTTTTAAATGAATAATAAAATATCATTTAATTAGAACAATAAAAATATAAATAATAAAAGCATTATTCAATTAAAATAATAAAAATATTATTTCAAATAAATAATAAAAGAATTGTTTAATTAAAATAATAAAAATATTATTCAATTAAAATGATAATATTATTGTTTAATTAGAAGATAAAATATCATTTAAACAAATTATAAATCATTATTTATTTTTAATGATAAAAATATTAATTTAAATGAATTATAAAAGTATTATTAATTAGAATAATTAAAACATTATTTTAAATAAATAATAAAATATTATTCAATTGGAATGATCAAAATTATCATTTTAAATGAACTGAACTTTTAGATTAATTCAAAATTTTGATTTAGTTCAAATTTTTACCAGTTTAATGTTTAGTTCAGATTTGGATTGATATTTTAAGAATAATAATCTGAACTGAAATTTCAGTTTAAATTCAGATTGGCTTATAATCTGAATTGAATCAAATCATTCAAAGTATTAAAAAAGCATACTTGATTTTAATAAAATATGTTAATTATGATGTAAATAAACAAAAAACATAAAAAAAGAATTTAATAATCTAATAGAATCATTATATTAACGTTAGGTATTATTTAATCATAGAATAATGTAGCATTAAATTTATATAATTTATATATATCTATTAACTAATACATTAACAAATAACTTTTCAAAATTTTATAGTATATGTAATAATAATTTATGAATGCTCTTTAAAATATACTATTTCAAATATGTTAAATAAATTAAAATTGATTTATTTATAAAATAATTGATTACTAAAATATTAATAATAATATTAAAATTCCTACAAAATAAAAATTAATTCATTATAAAATATTTTATAAGTCTGATATTATAAAAGAATATTATAAGATATTTAAGAATTTATTTCTATGCAAAACTTTCTTACTATTCTAACTTCTAAAAAATTGTGATTTTAATATATATAGCAGAGTTAATTACCAAAAGAAATCTAAAAATAAAGTGTAATATATATAGTTTATTTAATAGTAAATATTATTAACAATTTAAATAAAATCAAAATTTAATTTATAGTATAATTTACAAGATTTGCTTCAATAAACACTTATGCTGTTACAGAAGAACATTAATAATTTATATAATTAGCATAATATTTACGATCGTATCATTCATTTATTTAATGAAAAGATTATTTTCGAAAAAGTTCGAATCACAATATTTCAATATTTGATTCAGATTGCAATATTGCGATGATTTTGTCATAGAGGCATCTCGAGAAAAAAAAAATTGCTTTAGAAAGTTCTTTATCTATTAGACGTCTTTCAAGATAAGACTTACATTGAGCAACTTAGCTGAAGAACTAGTAGGGTGATCAAAATGTTTCATTAGTTATTTAATTTAATGAATTCATGCAGATGGGAAATTCCGTAGCAAAAATGGCGCATCATGTATAATTACCTTTATAGATAATCATTGTAAACATTTTAGCAAAAATGCCGCAAATAATAATTTATGTGGTATAGTTTAATAATTCTTTTAGAGATTTGTATATAAAATATGACTCTTTACTACAATAAACCCTGTCTATAATCACATCATATAAAATTCTTTTTATAATCACGTCTATATTAAGATTTAAAGTAATAAAAAAATACCCCTTTATTGTCACAATCTTTTGCCAAAAATGGTGATACGACATGATTAATTGATTGCGTGATTTTTGCCTATTAACATCATGTAAACACAATCTGCAATCTTGTAAGACGATTTATTATATTGTTACATCGAAATTTCCTTTAAATAAGATTCAAATTTTCGAACTTTTTGCTGAAAAAAAAAAAATTTTTTTCCCTTTTTTTCCTTCCCTTTTTTTCCCCCAAATAAACTTTGAAATTTATATATATATACACATACGAATATTTAAAAATGGATGCTTTATTAGATGTGATAGTTATTCCGGTTAGAGGAATGACGTGTCATTCATGCGTAAATTCCATAAAAAATGCTTTATCTGGATTACCCGGCATTTCGAAAGTAAATATTAGTTTAGCAAATGAAGAAGCGACAATTTCTTATAATTCAATTAAGTTAGCGAAATCAACAATTATTGAAACGATTGAAAATTGTGGATATGATGTTGCAAAACATAATATCGTTACTTTGCCTGTTAAAGGAATGACTTGTAATAGCTGTGTTAATAGTCTTAACATGGTATTGAAACCTACTGACGGTATTATTAGCGTCGACGTTTCTTTAGAAGACGAGAAAGTTAGAGTGGAATATGACACGGGAAAAATAACTGTAGATCAAATTATCGAAGCTATCGAAAATTGTGGTTACGATGTACCAAATTCCTCATCATTTATTCCTAATACTGCTACTTCAAAACGAGATCAATCTTTTACAAGTATTTCTTCACCACGAAATCTAGAAAATTATAACGCATCTACGTTAGTATCGGTTAACACACATGAATTTGAACCTGATAAATTACGCGTTGCTAAATTGTCGGTTCATGGAATGACATGCGCATCTTGCGTACATAGCATAGAAACGGCCTTAAAAAGCGTGCCAGGAATAATCTCTGTTAAAATCTCTTTACTGGTAGAAAGAGCTACCGTGGAATATTATCCCGATGTAGTTGATGAACAAACAATAACTAATAAGATAAACGATCTTGGATTTGAAGCCGCTCCAATTCCGGTTCAACGTGAAGATACAGTAGAATTACGCATTTATGATATGAAGATACCATCAGATGCTTTTTCGATTGAACGAAAATTAGAGATTTTCCCGGGAATAATTTCTGCATCAGTAAATTTCGGTACAACCATGGCCAAAATTCAATTTGATAAGGAGGTTGTTGGTTTACGTGATATCGTTTATAAAATTGAAGAATTTGGTTTTAACGCTTCACTTAACAATAATAATTATAATGCCCAATTAGAATCTTTATCGCGTATAAAAGAAATCCATGAATGGCGTAAATCATTTTATTGGTCTTTAGCATTTGCTATTCCTGTTTTCTTAATTTACATGGTTTTACCTAAATTTTCTTTTGGAAGCAGATTTATTGATTATGAGTTATATCCTGGACTTTATAGTGGTGACTTGATTAGTTTAATTCTTACAATTCCTGTACAATTTGGTATCGGTAAAAGATTTTATATCGTCTCTTATAAGGCACTTAAGCATAAGACCGCTACGATGGATGTCTTGGTGGTTATAGGTACTTCCGCTGCATTTTTTCTTTTCTTGTTTCGTGATGGCATACATCATCTTCATTGATCCAAATTATCCAAGGCAACCAGTTTTCTTTGACACATCTACAATGTTAATTACATTTGTTATGCTTGGAAGATATTTAGAGAATTTGGCAAAAGGACAAACATCAACAGCTTTATCCAAATTAATGTCATTAACTCCTTCCATGACCATCATCCTTTTAAGGAACCCCATCACAGGCGAGATAACTGAAAAAAAAATTTCGACAGATTTGATTCAATTGGGAGATGTAGTAAAAATTATTCCAGGGGATAAGATTCCGGCTGATGGGGTAGTTGTTACTGGCGAATCGACCGTAGATGAAAGTATGGTAACGGGTGAAGTTATCCCCGTAAAGAAATTTCCTGGTGAAAATGTAATCGGAGGAACTGTTAATGGATCAGGTAGTTTCGAAATGAAAATTACCAGGGCAGGAAGCGATACCGCGTTAGCACAAATTGTCAAGTTGGTTGAAGAGGCGCAAACAACAAAAGCTCCAATACAAGAATTTGCCGATAAAGTGGCGGGATATTTTGTACCTGCTGTCATCGTTTTTGGTGTCCTTACATTCGTCGTATGGATGATATTATCTACCAAGATACTTACAACATTACCGGATATCTTTAATAATGAATCGAGCAAATTCATGGTTTGTTTAAAATTAAGCATATCAGTTATAGTAGTAGCTTGTCCTTGTGCTCTTGGATTAAGTACACCTACGGCTGTAATGGTTGGAACTGGGGTTGGCGCACAAAATGGTATCCTTATTAAAGGAGGAAAGTCATTGGAATCGGGACAAAAAGTAACAAAGGTAGTCTTTGATAAAACTGGTACTTTAACAAAAGGAAAATTAGATGTCTCTCACATTGAATTGATGAGTGATAATTTGGAATTTAGTCCCGAAATATTCTTTGCTCTAGTTGGGGCCGCGGAATCATCGAGTGAACATCCTTATGGCAAAGCTATTGTTGATCATGCCAAACAATTACTTGAAGTTGAGAATATTGATGCGGTTATAAATAATTTTGAAGCTTTGGCTGGATTAGGTGTGAAATGTAATGTGATATTAAATAAATCATATTCTTTAGTACCATCAATGACGAGAAATACTTCAACCACAGGAAAATCTTACAAAGTTTTGGTTGGAAACGTTAAACTTCTTTCACAAAATTATCAGGTCGACATACCACTTGCAGCAACGGAATTCAAAGAACAACAAGAGAGACTTGGTAGAACCGCTGTATTGGTGGCTATTGATAGTAAATTTATTGGAATAATTAGTTTATCCGATACGATTAAACCCGAAGCAAGATTAGCAGTTGGAGCCTTACATCAAATGGGAATTCAAGTTGCCATGGTTACGGGGGATCAACAACTCACCGCGGAAGCCATTGCGTCGCAATGTGGGATAACTGAAGTTCATGCCGGAGTTTCACCAAAAGGAAAAACACTTATAGTCAAATCATTACAACGTGAGGGGGAACGTGGTAATATAGTAGCGATGGTAGGGGATGGGATAAATGATTCACCTGCTTTAGCCGCCGCTGATGTTGGGATTGCCTTATGTTCTGGTACTGATATTGCCATAGAAGCAGCTGATATTGTTTTAATGAGAAATGATATAACGGATGTTGTGGCCGCATTTGATTTATCAAGGACCATCTTCACTAGAATTAAAATGAACTTTATTTGGGCATGTCTTTATAATATACTTGGAATTCCTTTAGCGATGGGTATATTCTTACCCTTAGGATGGTCTTTACATCCTATGATGGCCGGAGCAGCCATGATTTGTAGTAGCGTTAGTGTTGTATGTAGTAGTTTAATGTTACATTGGTGGTCTAAACCCGAATGGGTCATTAATTCCAAAGGTGCCGTAGTAAAACTTAAAGCAAGGAGTCGTTTAATGATTTCTCTGAAAATATTTTGGTTTAGAATATTTAGAATAAACGGTTATACTAGACTTCACAATGAATGTTGAACTTTCTTGCACGGAATATTTTATGGGAGAATTGTTTGAAGGATTTTTTGTTGGGAATAAACTTTGAAAAAAAAAAAAAAAAAAATCTCCGTGACAGATTATCTTGAACGTAATATCTTAATATTGTAACACAATGTATTATTAATATTTTTTTTTTTCTCTATTTTAGTAAAAAATTTAAACTTATTTGAAATTATTTTTTGAAATCTTTAATCACCCCATTCAAATGAACTTTTAAGTATTTTATTATCAACTTTTATGGAATTTTTGTGTGATATCTCGGAGGAAAGTATAATCAAGTAAGTTCTTGTTCATTGAGATTTAGTAAAGATTTACTTGTTACATTAACCAGAATTCTTTATTAATTTGAGTTGGGGACTTTTATGTTTACAACAGGTTATTTCAATGAATCACATATGATTATATAATATAAACAAATAAAGTTATGTGATGATATTAAAATTTTATCATTATATTTTAATTGTAACGAACCTTTTTTTTTATCTACTGTATTACCTTGATTTTAAAAAAGATTCTCCTTAAAATGCATAAAAGTGCCATAGGGGTTAAATTATAATTACGGAATGATTGTGAGAAAAGTTGTGGCGGAATCAATCATCAAATAGATCAAATAGGAAAAGGTATTCCTAAAAAAAATGATGAAATTTTCTAAATGGTAAAAATGGGCAAAATGAACAGCATGGCAAAACTGTTTAAAAGAGCCATGATGTTCGTTTTATTAATAGATATTTTTTACTTTGAATCAAAAAAAATTTACGCGTTTATCTTTAATTATATGGTATGATTCACACAATAAAATATGAAAAAACTTACATAGTTTGATGATAAAATCTAGAATTGTTCCTAAAAACTAATAAAAGGACATTTGAACGCTGGAAAGAATACTAAAAAACGTGACCAAACAATCTTACTTACTGCGGTTCGAGCTAAATGGTCGGGCGCGTACTCATAAAATTTTGATAATCCGAATTAAAAGTTTTAATTAAACCAATTCCACAATTCGCAAGTAAAAAAAAAAGCGAAAAGATGATTGTTTGGCAACAATGACATTGTACATATATAGAGTATAATAAAAACAAATCATTACGAAAAACCTTGTAAAATTACTCACTTTCCAAAAAAAAAAAAAAAGGTACACCGTGAATTTCTTGTTGCATCGAGAATTCATATTTTAAGTTTTAAATCCACAATATTTTTTGAAAATTTAGTACATTTTAAGTCGATACAAGAAAAAGTGATGGATCACGGATGATTTCTTTACAAATGGAATTTAAGACATGGCTAACTTAACTAAATTCATTTTGTTCGATTTCAAGATGTAATGTTAAAAGCATCGTATCGAACCGCAGTAACATTTTATTAATTTACTAAAATGCCCATAGGCAGAACAGAAATTAGTACAATTAGTACAATTAGTACAGTTACATTATAATAATTAATATAAAATTATACAAGTACAGTACAAGTACAGTGTCAATTTTATCTAGTACATACAAATTTCCCAAGGTTAAGGTTAGGGTTCGGGTTAGGATTAGGTGAGGGTGTTAGGGTTAGAGTTAAGGTTATGGTTAAGCTTAGGTCAGTATGCCAATCATAATCACTCCCTTTTTCTTTGCTGTGAAGACATACTTCTTTGATAAAAACAATAATAAATTCACGTTGCATTATTCTTAATATTTGAATGTCATCTTCACTTCTCCATATGGGATTTCGTAGACTTTTTGGAGAGTGTTATCGTCCAACCAATTGGATGTAACACCAAAACTTTAATTGGATTATAAAGAAATATGTAGTATGACTTTTTATTCAAATTTAATTGGTACAAAAAAGAATAAAAATTTGCCGTACATAAATTATGTACTTCTTTAATAAGTAATTCGTACCAGTTAAACGCGACTTGTTTAATATGCGGATCCGAAATAAAAAATTTCTACTTTATTAACTTGAGATTTTTTTTTCCTCTCTTTGTTCTGCAATAATTTAATAATATAATTTCCTCCCCTCTTTGTGAAATTAAAACTATTAAGTTATTTTTTCCCACCTTTTTCTTTTTCTTATTTTTTTTTTTTTTTACAAAGTTGTTTATTTTAAGAACAATGGGAAATTCAAAGTTACATACAAAGTCGTCTACTAGGCTTTCTACGTCATCCACGTCCACATCCAAAAAATCAGTTACCACGACGACCACGAAATCAAAACCTAAAGTAGTTCAAAAATCCTTAACTAATAAAGATTTAAAAGTTACAACGACCGCGAAAACTTTGACGACAAAGAATCTATCCTCTTCAAGGGTATCATCCGTCAAAGCTACACCTACGTCCACCACTAAAACCACCCCAAGAGATACCAAATCTTCGAAAAATTTAAGTTCATCATCTACGATAAAGACGACGAATAAAACTACAAAATCATCTACGTTAACTAAGAAGAAATTAAAAGAAAAGCAACAACAAGGGAATGTTACAACAAACGCTTCATTAGATTTGGAAATTTCAGATGAAGCAAAAGATAGTCCTATATGCTCCGAAATAAATAGTGTCATGAATGAATTAGAAAAATTCCGTACAAGTTTACATGAAATTGGAAGGGTACAAGAAAAGAAGAATGAAATCGTTTCGTCGTCTAAACATTCAAATCATAATAAAAAAATATCTTCCGGTTCGCTTCAAAAATTACTCTTGGCGGATGGTATGTCGAATCAGGATGAAATAGTTTTGCAAGCTCACAATCAATTATCAGCGGTCAGACAACATATAACTTCAATAATGGATAATTACGAATCTTTGGATGAAAATTTATTAACCGTCATTATGACTTATAATGAAGAAGTTAATATAGCTTTGCAAGAAGCATTGCAAGAAGTACCAAAATTATATCTATCACAATCTCAATCACAACCTCCTTCCCCTTCATTATCTTTTTCCTCTCAATTCTCTTCGCATGATGACACCAATTCTACTCAACAGTTTATTGAGGCTCAAAAAATACAAATACAATTTCTTGAACAAGCTAATTTTAATAATGTCTTTCAATTAACTAATGATATAAAGAAATGTCAATTAAACCTCGAGAAATTTATTAAATCAAACTTTAAAATGTATAATTTGAATTTACTTGAATCAAAAATCCTTTTACGTAAATATGACATAAGAATTAATTTAGATGATTTGTATGAGAAAAATGAAAAATATTCTAAAGTTTTAATATGTCATTCATTACAAAGACTATTATTAGAGACAGTTTTGGAAAATTCCGATATTTATTTTACGGGTTCATTACAAAATTTTCAACCTCAAAATTTATCCTCCATTACAAATGATTTCGATGAGGAGAGTTACGGTCATAATAATCCCTCTCTCTTTCAAAAAGTAACTAAAATCAATCCTGAAGTTTATGCGGTTTTGGGTTCAAATTGTTTCGATGGATTTGAACATCCTTTCATCGAATTTGTAGGAGAAAAATTGGTTGAAATAATTGAAAAATACTTTGAGGTTAAACATGATTCAATTACGGGAAACAAACTTAATTTGGTCAATTTAGCTAATGAATTAGTTTATGATATTATAAATGTTTTTTATTTTAGAATGCAAGCACAAGAGCCTACTGCTCAATATCAATGGATTGAAAACGAAAAGTCATTGGATCCGCATCTCATGTCCATTGTAAATTATAGTACTTATTGTAATAATAATTTTTCTTTACCGGGTGATTATGAAAATTGTGAACATAAACTTTGCGAAGAGGAATTCGATGTGGTGGGAGTTTGTTCCTTTCCAGCGATAGGTAAAAGATTAAAATGTCAAGAAAAATTAGAAATTTACACCAAGGCAAAAGTTTTACCTTATTCTCAACTAAATCATGAAATAAAGTAGCAAATAATCATTCTCTTTTTTTTATTTCAACTATGGAAGTTTATTTATTTATTTACAAATTTTGTAAAAAAAAAAAATGATAATTTTTTTTTTTCTTATATCTAATAAAATAGACAAAATGATTGTAAAATTTTTTTATTAATATAATAAATATAAAAGTAATAATTAATAAAATAATTTTTTTAATATTATTGGGAAATTATGTAAATTTCAGTTGTTAAAAAATTTATTAGTCTAGAAAACTGGACCTAAAAACTTAAAGATTATATGCTAATCATAAGGGTAAAAAAAAGGCAAGATAATTCAAAGATAGGTATATATAAGTTTTTACATCACTTATTATGATATCATGTTTATTAGCAATTTTTTTAGAAGCCGAAGGTAGTAGGAGTAAATCAAGATGATGTGGAATTGCACGAACATGCTCAAAAATCAATTCGTAGTTAATAGGTTTTTTATCAATTTTATTCATGTAAATTAATTTTTTTTGCGCTCAGTTAATAAAAATTACTTTTTTAATATGTAAAGAATAAGGTCTGATTTGATTTTGATTTAATTGTAAGATCGAAAAGCGTAATGACAACATATTATAAGGAAATAAAATAGGACAGTAAAAATAAAAACGAAAATGTAAAACCACATTTATTTATAAGGGATGATCATTGTAACGACAAAATGTATATACCTGAACTTTGGAGGGTTATGGGAACGGATTTTGTTATTTTTAGCAAAATTCAGGCGTGTTTCTTCTTCAATAAGCATTTTTATCAAATATTCATTAAAAAAAAGATTTCTGCTCATAAATGCACAATTGTTTTCATTATCATTATGAATTTTTTTACGTTTGCATTTTTTTTGGAATGGTGTTGGCCATTACTATTTTTTTTTTTTTTTCACTGTTGTGGTTTAATCTAGTCGAAAATTTTTTATTTAAAATATTTTTTTGAATTTTAAAAATGTCAACATATGAAGAAGCAGAAGAAAGGTACGAAGAGGCGAAGAAGATGATGGAGATGTGGGAAGAGAAGTTGGAGAAGTGGGAAGTGGAAAAATACAAAGAAGTGAAGTTGAACGAGTTGGAAGATAGGTTGGAAGAAGAGAACTTGAATGAATGAAGTGAAGAAGAACTTGGAAGAGTGGAAATATAGGTTGTTGGAAGAAAAGAAAAATTTGGGAAAAGACAAAGAATATTGGATGGAGCGGGTGAAGAAGTGGGGGAATGTGTTGAGAGAGTTCTGTAAAGGAAAGGTAATAAGCAAATTGCATAAAAAAAAACTGAGTTGTACTTTTTCTTTGGCTTATTTTTCTTTTTCTATCATTGTTCTCATTGGATTTCATGGGAGAAATGATCATTGAAATGCAAACTTAAAGATGACCAAGAAGAAGCATATATTAAAAAAATAAAAGGTTTTCAGTTTTCACCTAGTGAAGCTGCAAAGCCATTAAACTGGAGAAAAAATTTAATTAGAAGACTCTGATTATGTATTTTACAATCATAGACCTGCTAATACCTCAGGAAATCCTGTAACATTGCAATATGAAATTATTGCAAAATTATATGATGATTTAAGATATATAAATCCAACTGCTCATGATTACGATTTTGCATTGAAAATCATCTATAAAATATCAGGAATTACTTTTTGCTCTGAAGATGAGAGAAGAGAAAGTTTTAAAAATTGTTTTTATGGGACATATAAAATAGCACTAAATCAATATACTTTTGATAATAATATTACCACAGCTATATTTGGAAGAAATGGAAAATATATGTTAAGCAATTTGAAAGTCAAACTAGAGATAGAAACTGGTAATTGTTGTCATATTAACTAGACATTAGTTTATTATGCAAAACATGTGGCAAATGAATTTATAATTGATACTAGAAGTAGCATTCGTCTACCTTGTATATTACTATATTTAGCAGATTAGTATCAAAATTTTTCATATTAATCATTTTGATTCACTTTTATGAAATAACAATGGTTATTTTTTGAAAATAAACAAAACATATTGATTTACAGATCCATACATTAGCATGGCTGGTGTAATTCAAGGAAATAAATTTCTTTGTGATCTATTATCACTTGCATTTCTACTTTTATTTACACAACATTATCAGAAATACATGTTATCAGTGGTAAAATTTTTTGCTACATATAAAAAAGCATTAGATAATCTTGGAGAATACTACAAAAACCCTTCCTATCCTAACTTTCATTTTCATATATCAAATCATACAAACATTTAAATACAAATTTAAAAATTAATTTTCAATATATCAAGTAATTGCATGAAAAAAAGTTATTGTTTTTGATTAAACTTGAGAATGAAGATCTTTTAAGTCAATTAATTGTTAAATTCATTAAAAAATATGAGAATGATATACATCTTATTTGTGTAAATTTAGATATTGCATCATAGCTGTTTAGATTTAAGAAAGTTTCAAGTAGTTAGCTCATAGTAGTAATAGAGTATCTAGATAGTTACGAAGCAATCTCTAAAAAACTTTCAGCATAAATTCAACAACAAATATTTACAGCTATGCAGAAAATGCATCAAGAGATTTATGTTTATGATGATTTATGCTATTTAAATATTCTTACCAAAATTACAAATGGTAATACTAAAGTTGTCTTTATAGATTATGATTGAGCAGATAGAGGTAAAAAAGCAACCTATCCTCTATTTTTGAACCTTGGAATTCCTTAACATCATGATGTTAGTCCAGGTAGATACATTTTGAAAGAACATAGTGAATTTATGGTGAATAAATACAAAAATTAATGGTTGATTAATTTATTTAAAGTGTTTTTTTTAATAATATTCTTATGAAAATTAAAATATTTTTAAATTAAAGATGTAATTAAATTTTTTTTTATATCATTAGAATATTTTAATAACATATACAAATAAATATATATCAGTCAGTAAGGCAAATGTATTATTCTTATATAATCATATATTATTTTCTTATACGATCAAATTATGCAATAATATGCACCCTTTTTATATATCTTACTTAGATCATCAGATACTATTTCTTGTACGATCAGATATGCATCTTTTTTAACAAAAAATTTTAAAACTCATGAAGTAATATTTTACTAAAAGTGCATTTAATCACTTTCATATTTTTTTATTTTAATTTTTCTTTGTTCAAACAAAACTTTATCATCTTTATATTTTTTTTGTTTTAATTCAAACAGAAACTTGTGTTATTATTTTATATTTTGTTTAAATTTTTATGACTTTATTTTAATTTTCATATATTTTATAATAAAAAAATCTTATTTTCAAATTTTATTATTTTTTTTTTTTAAGATGCAGTAGATTCGTAAAAACTTTTATTAAAGAATAGTAAATTATACAAAATAAAATACAAAGTATAAAGTAGATTATATAAAATTACATTTTAAAGTAATTATAAAATCTCAGATTAACTAATCTATGACTAATTAGACAAGATCTTATGAAGCACCTCTCAAAATCAATCTTAACTTAAGTGAAGAATATCATTTTTTAGAATTAATAAATAAAATAAAACAAAATAATAGATAAAAATAAAATTTATGCTATATTGAAAAGAAATTATTTATGCTTAAGATGGTTTTATAAAAGAGAAAGTGATGGTTATTTAATTAACTATTTGATTGAAATAAAAAATGTGAAAAGATCTTATCTTTTTGAGTGTTATTCAAAGAGGAAGATATGAATAGAAGGAAAGACGAAATTGAGAAGGAGAAAGAAACAGAGGTAGTATTTATTGAAATATTGTTATTATCTTTGCTTTTGCCTTTATTTATTCTTTGAGGTTTGAGGGAAGAATCAGGTCTTTATTCATTTTTAATATTAAAGGGAAATGATTGTGATATAGGTGGAGGAAAAGAAAACTGGGTTTTTAAAGTTGGATCATTTTGTGTACGTTTTATTTTATTTTGTAAATTAGTTTGTCTAGTTAAATTATATACAGATTCTTCAAATCCATATTTTCATCATAATTGTTCGTGAAAGAAGTAGAAGGAGAAGCAGTGTCAGAAAATTCTTAAAAACTGATAGTAACGCTATTGTTATTTGTTGAGAAAGAACCTTTAGGTTGTTTATATGAAAAGTTCTTTTCAATAAATTTTTTTCATTTGTCAGTCCTTATTTTTTTGTTTTCTTTTTACACTGTTTTTGTTGTTTTTACCTATAGTGAAAATGAAAAAATGAGAAAGAGTTTTTTTGTTTTTTCAAATTTTATTATGAAAGGTTTGAAAATTTAATTCAATATAATGATGATGATACTATAAATATACCTTTTAGTCGTATTGCTGAATGGTATATTATAAATTATTCATTATTAAAAAATATTCACTTAAAATGTCAAACGTAAAGAAAAACTGCAAAATTAATTAAAGCAGATATTATTAATATAAGTCGAGTAGAAAGTACTATTGATTTTATTGAATAGAACACAAAAAAGGTGATACAAAATTAATAAATAGAATCGATGATATTATTAAATTAACTTTAAAAAGAGAAGAATATGTTAAACAAATAAAGACAAAAGAAAAAAAGGATAAATTATATTGGTTATAGATTATGTTCTGTTCAAAAAAGGAAATTATAAGCGTAAATGTAAGGGAATTAGTAGTTATAAAGAAGTATGTACAAATTATTCTCTTCAAAATAATTTAAAAAATTATCATAGTATACATTTATGCAAAGTTTGTGTAATTTCTGAATCAAGATTTTCCTGGTTAAATAAAGAAAAACCCCTTAAAATCAAAATTGTTAGGTTATATTTACTAATAAACGTTCTTATATTACATAATTCAAGTGTTTCAAGATTGAATTTATTATGACAAGTTAGAGATCATATTATAGTTAATCATAGGTCAGATCATTGTATAGCCAATTCTGTTAAATCAAAATTATTAATGCCCTTTAATGGAGCAGAAGAAAATGAATTAAAGGAAGCATTAAAAAATTAACGTTAAATATGTAATAATAATAAATTTAGATCTTACTTAATATGTGATGATTAAAGATTAGAAAAAAATTCAGATATGTGAATTATATTATATTATTTAATTATAAAAGTTTTAAAACTAAAAGGATATATTTTATATTATCAACAATCTGATTTTTTATAACCTGAAGAGAAAAAACAATTTTATCAATTTACTTTATCTAATAAATTCTGGCTAAGAAATAGCAAAAAATTTGATCAAAATTGTATTAAAATGAATTCAAAACATAATTTAAATAATGATAGGGCTTCAATATTAGTATTTGTTACTGAAAATAACAGTAGTTCTGAAATACCACTTACTTTTGGTAAGAAAATTATTAAAAATTTAAAAGAATTAGAATATTTATTTATATTTCATTAAAAATAAAAAAATTAGTATTAAACAAGTAAATTAAAGAAGCAATTTAATAAATTAAAATATGTATTTATTTAATGAGCAAATTAAAGAAGCAATTTAATAAATTAAAAATATATAATAATAATAAATGTATTTATTTATTATTTTAGAAATAAGTAATAAAGAAAACTAATGGACAATAAAATTATCAATAGTAGCGATAAAAACAAATATTCTATGTGATCTAGATAATTATAAATATAAATAGAGTTATGTTGATTTGTTAAATAGTAAAGAATTTAAAAAAATAAGAGAATGCAATTCTTTTAATTGGAATCCTTTAGTTATGATAGATAAGCATAGGCCATCAAAAATTGCTGTATATAATAATTTACATAGAATCATATTATATTAGTTGTATATAATGTATACAATTAGTGAAAATTTTAATTATTAGAATATTTTGTGACTATTACAGTAAATATATATAAAAATTTTACTTTGAATTATTTTATTTGATATTATTTTTACTTTATAAATTCAAAATTAACTAATTAAATTTAAATTTTATAATTAGGCATCCTTTAGCAGGGTCGCATTCATTTCACCGACAACCATTTTACTGACAATTATTTTACCGACAAACATTTCATAGACAGGATCATTTCACTGACAACTGTTTTACCGATGATCATTTCTCTGACACAATCATTTCACTGATATATTCATTTCACCGACAAACATTTTACCAACGATCATTTTACCAACGATCATTTTTACCGTTCCAAAAAAAAATTTTGTATTTATTGTATTAATTGCCTAAAAACATATTAATAAACTATATAAAATGACTAGAATTTACTACAAACTATCTAAAATGAAAGATTATGAGCAATTCCTCGTAAAAAATCCATAAGTGATCTATTTTCACAATCATTATATACTTTTTGAATTCGATCTTCACGCTCATAATCTTGTCTTCTTTGTGAAGGTCGTGGTGCTCCTTGCAAAATTGATTCTATGTTGAGTTGAACTTGATTTTGTTCTTTTTGTATATCTTTAATAATTTTAAATATACCTACA